GAGGATCTCTATAGGGGTCCTGTAGGCGTCCTATCGGGATCCTGTAGAGGTGTATCGGGATTCTAGAGGGTTTCTATAGGGACCTTAAAGTGATCCTAGTGGGCCCGTACAGGGACCTTCCAGGTCTTGCGTGATCTCTAGAGGGTCTCCATCGGGATCCAATGGGGTCTCTATGACACTAAAGTGCTCCTAGCGGCATCCTATAGGGACCTTGCAGGCTTTGCATGATCTCTATAGGATCTCCATACGGATCTTTTAGACATCTCTATAGGGTCTATATAGGGTTCCTCAAAGGATCCTATAGGGATCCTATAGGCCCTGCAGGGTCTCCCTCCAGGGCTTCCATTGGGTCCTATAGCGATCCTACAGGCCCTGCAGGGTTTCCATCGGGATCCTATACTGATCCTATAGGCCCTGCAGGGTTTCCATAGGGATCCTATAGGGACCGCACAGGCCCTGCAGGATCTATATAGGGTTTCTATGAGGATGCTACAGGGTCTCTATAAGGTTCCTACGGGGACACTATCGGAATCTCTATAGGGTCTCTCTAGGACTCCTAAAGGGAATCTGTACGGATCTCTATAGGGGTCTCTGTAGGGTTCCTAAAGGGACCCTGTGGGGATCTCTATAGGGGATCTCTTCTGGGTCTCTATAGGGTTCTTAAAGAGACCCTATAGGGATCTCTATAGGGTCTCTATAGGGTTCCTCATGGGACCCGGCAGGGATCTCTTTCGGGTCTCCATAGGGATCCTGAAGGGAACCTGCATGGATCCGCAAGGGACCCTCTCGGGATCCTATGGGCCCTGCAGGGTTTCCAAAGGGGCCCTATAGGCCCTACAGGGTTTCCATAGTGGCCCTATAGGGGTCCTAAAGGCCCTGTAAGATTTCCATCGGGCCCTACAGGGATCCTATACGCCCTGCAGGGTTTTCACTGGGATCCTATAGGGACCCCGTTCTCGAGGCTCGCCGGAGCAAATCTCGGGTTGCTCGGTTGGTGGGTTGCTGTTGCTAGCCACGTGTCCTTGTGATCCGCCTTGAGTACCAGGAACGAGGCGGTCACAGCGAGCGCACGGGACGCGTCCCTCATGGCCGTTTTGACCTTGTTGTTGTTGTGTCTGTTTATGTTGCTGTTGTTGTTGCTGCTGTTGATGTTGGTGCTGATGATGACGGTGAATGTGATAATGCTGATGATCCTGATGATGAAGGTGATCGTGTTTTGGTGATGCTGGTGCTGATGCTGATGTTGTTGTTGATGGTGATGGTGATGGTAATGATTATGTTGACATGATCAGGATGATGACCACGATGATGCTGATGATGATGGGGATCGTGTTTGGTGATGAAGATGCCGATTATGATAATGATGATGATATTGATGATGGCGATGGTGATGGTAATGATGCTGATTATGATGTTGATGATGCTCATAATGATGATGCTGATGATGGTGGTGGTGGCTATGATGATGAGGATGATGATGCTGATGATGGTGATGCTGATGATGTTGATGATGATGATGATGATGATGATGATGATGATGATGATGATGAGCATTCCTATAAGTGTTGTCATGATAACGAACAGGTCGCCCGGTCAGTGGAGGAGGAGGAGGAGGTGGCTGAGAAGCAGAACCAGCACAAGCAAAGACACAGCTGAGAACCGGCGGCCGCAATCTCCAGCAGCACCGCATCGAAAGGCGAGATGCGGCAATTTGAATATCTTACGGCCGACATCACCAATGTCATCGCTCTTCTCAGAGTCCCGCTCCTCTTCCACCTCCTGCACCCCCTCCTTCCTGTTCCTGCCCTCTCCTGCTACCTCGTTCTCTCCCTCCTCATCCTGCCCCTCCTCCTTCTGCACCTCCTTCTGCACCTCCTTCGCTCCCCGTCCTTCGCTCCCGTCCTGCTGCTTCCTGCCATGCTTCCCCGTCCTGCTCCTCCTTATGCTGTTGTTTCTGCTGATTCTCCTCCCCCATCCCTCATTCGCCTCCTTCCCCCTCCTACTCTCTCCTCGTCCTCGTCCTCGTCCTCGTCGTCTTCTTTCTCTTCGTCGTCGTCGTTCTCCTCCGCCTCCTCCTCCTCCTGTCCCTCTCCTCTCCCTCCTCCTCCTCCTCCTCCTCCTCTCTTCCTTCTCCTCCTCTTCCTCCTCCTCTCTTCCTCCTGTTCCTCCTCCTCCTTCCCCCCAATGTACACACAGTTTCCGTTTCTGGTTGCGCGTAACACGGTAGGGTCTTTGTTTGGGGGCTCCAGGTCCGTTATGGCACGCGTTGTTGGATAGAGGATCCTCACCGCTTTGGGAAGGGATACGAAGGAGGGGTAGGATGTCAAATATGCTTGACTCGTGATACCAAGGTGGTAGATGGGCGGCTAGGCGTGCTCATCTCCTCCCTCTCGCCAGGCGGCCGCCCCCTTTCCCGTCCGAAGGCCGCCGTGATGCCCCAGAGCTTCGAGGCCGCACTCTCGCAGAAGGGGAGGAGTGGAGTAGGATGAGGAGGAGGAGGAGGGACAGAGGAGGAGAAGGAGGAGGAGGAGGAGGAGGAGGTTGTGGTGTTGTTGTTGATGATGATGATGATGATGGTGATGATAATGATGATGATGACGATGCTGATAGTGATGCTGATGATGCTGATGCTGATGCTTATCATGCTGCTGATGATGGTGATGCTGATAGTGATGATGATATGATCGTGATGAGGCTGAGGATGATGATGGCAGTGATGATGGCGATGGTGAAGCATGCGGCTGAGGATGCTGATGATGGTGATGATGCTGATGATGGTAATTCGTAACTATGATGATGGTGATGATGAGGATGAGGATGCGGATGATGATGGTGATGACGATGATGATAAGGATGTTGATGATGTAGATGATGCCGAGTGAAACGATGTTGCTGCTGCTGGTGATAAGTAAACTGATAAGGTTGGTGGTGGCTGTGATGATGGTGAGGAGGATGATGGTGACGATGATGACTGTGGTGGTTGTGGTGGTGATGGTGGTGGTGAACATGATGATGTTGATGATGACGATGATGCTGATGATGATGACGGTGATGATGATGACAGTGATAATGATGCTGGTGCTGATGATGATGATGCTGATGATGATGATGGTAGTGATGCTGATGCTGGTCATGGTGATGGTGATAGTGATGTTGATTGTTATGGTGATGATGGCAGTGGTGGTGGTGATGATTATGATGATGATGTCGATGCCGGTGTTGCTGATGATTATGATGATCATGTTGATGCTGTTGATGCTGTTGATTATGCTCATGGTGATGATGATGACGATGAGGATGAGGATGAGGATGATAATGATGATGATGATGATGATGATGATGATGATGGTGGTGGTGGTGGTGGTGGTGGTGGTGGTGGTGGTGGTGGCGGTGGTGGTGGTGGTGGTGGTGATGATGATGATGATGGTGATGATGATAAGGATGCTGCTGATGATGAGGAGGAGGCGGCGGAGGATGATGAGGAGGAGGCGGAGATGGAGGGGGAGGAGAAGGACGAGGAGGCGGCGGAGGAGGAGGAGGAGGAGGTCCGTAGCCGTTTTGGCTCAAGCCATTTTGGCTCAAGTTCAAACGCCGTGCCTTAGGCGCTGGAGCTTGACTGCAGCCAAGGGGCTGGTCCGAGTCCCCGCGCCTGGTCGACAGGCGACCTCTTCCAAGCAGGATCAAGTCCTTGCTCACATCCCTTTTCTTGCGCGTCACCCTGTACATGATGTCGGTGGCTGGGTACTGTACCTGTACAGTGGCACTATGGCACACCTTAGCGGAGAGATTGGAGAACCGAGGCCGCAGTCCCCTCGAACCGCAGCTGGCCGAGAGGCTGCGACTCCCGCACGTGCTGACGGAGCAGGAGCTCTCGCTGGTATGCAGCAGCAGCGGCAGCCGCAGCAATTTCCGCAGCAGCAACCCCTGCAGCAGCAGCTGCCGCAGGAGAGTGACTTCCAGGCCCTCAGAGGGACAGTGGAGAACATTCGGACCTCGCTCTTGCAGCAGATCCAGAACATGCAGCATTCTCTCAAAGCTACGTCGAGCACTGTGCAGACCCACTTTGGGGGAGTGGACAGGCAGGTCGTGGCGCGGATGGCAGTGGCTGAAAGCAGAAATTCCAAGCCCGACACAGTTGACTAAGTTGACAAATTTCGTGGCAGATCTACGCACGACCTTGAGCATCGGCCAGAATCCGGAGCCATCTGAAAACGGCTTTGATCGTGATATCGGCCCGACGATCACTACCACCGAACTAGCTCCATGGTGGCGAGGGCACATGTACAGGTAGCTTTCACACCTTGGTTGGATAACGCGAACTTCGGTGAGGACGAGTGGCTGCTCAAAGACAACCCAGTGGCGTAGATGCATCAGATGCCCCTCCGCGGTGCAGCGCGCTACGCAGTCTGCAAGGTCAACCAGGCCATGGGGGCCATGCGTCTACCGGGAGGAGCTGGATAGCGCAATCTTGATCGCGAGACTCCAGAAGGTACCCGTGTTGAACTGTTCACCACGACGGGCAATCGTCAGTTGCAGGTGCAGACGGAGCTGGGCCTCCACCCCATCAGGAAGAAACTAGAGGATGTTTTCAAAGGAAAACGATTCTGCATCGACCGCAGGCGGCGCAGGGATATCAGCATCTCTTGGAAGGACATCCTCAAGTTCACGGCGACGGGCCCCGATGAGCCGCCCACCATCGAATGGGCCATGCACAATATGCAGGCCGCCAACCTCGACAGGTCGGTGTGTGAGGCACCGACCAAAGCTCTGTTTGCTGACGCAACTCCAACCGAGTAGAGTATTTCACATCGAGTCCCTCCAGCTTCGTCGCAGTTCAGGAGACCCGCGGGGCCAGGTCCGAGGCAGAGGACATGGTCCACTTCTTCCACAAACCGACGGAGCTCTTTACCTCGTTTTGTCCTTCGGCCAGCGCGGGCGGCGCCCTCGCGCCGGTTCCGAAGCCTCCTCAGGGGCGCTGCTCCATGGGCGACGTGGAGTTGGTCAAAGGGCGGGCCTCGGCAGTCTTGGTCTCGCTTGGGGAAGACCCCAAGCGAGACTTCAACGTCAGTGCGAGCCCCCCCACGCCCCTGGCCCCCGCAGCAGCCGCGTTGGCTGACGACGGGTGCGCGCCTTGGAGAGGCGCGCGCGACCTTGTTTGGCCGCCGTTTTTGTTTCGCGGCTGGTCGAGGCCGATCAGCTGGATCCGACTCGCTTCTTTGCAGGGCGCGGGCAAATTTGCATCGCGGACCAGGCGTTCAGGGCCCTGACTAACATGGCTGCTACTGGTGATGCGGAAAAAGACGGTCGAGAATACATGTTATAAGAACTTTTCGGGTCACGCCTCGGTCTCAACCACGCGCAGTCCGACTCGACCGACGCCGATTGAGGAGAGGGCGATCCCGAAATCCATTTTCAGCACCGCGTACTTCAATCAGACGATGTTATTTCGACGCGACCGATTGGGCAGATATGACGGCACCTCTCAAACTAGTGCAGTGCAAGACGCTTCTTCGATAAGCTGCTAAAGTCGAGCCGAACCTGGTTCCAAGCTAGCGCAGAAACCGCTCTGCGCTCGGTGGGCGGGGCCGCGCGACGGCGGGGCGCTCAGCTCGCCGCCGATCCGCTTCGTGCGCGCGCTTTCGCTCGAGAGCGCCCCTGCTTTATTTGTTGTGGGGCAGTGTCTGGCTTTTCCGTCCGAATTGAGTGTGCGACGACGATCGATGGCTTGATCTGGGAGGATTTCGAGGGGCAGCGGAAGAACCTGGAGGAGAGGATCAAGGAGACCACCGCGCAGAGCAGCAGGAAAAAGTTGCGACGGCAGCGGCAGCGGCGACTCTAGCAGCGCTGCGAGATCTTTGGCACCCTTCGATAGTCGCCCAGTGCCTAGAGGCACTGGGCACCGGCGCGGCGCGTTCACGGAGCCCGATGAGATTAGCTGCTTCGATCTCGTCGAAATGGCGCTCCGATCTCGACTGCAGAACTATTCTCGGGGCCCCGGCGAGGGCCTGCATCTCCAAATTCACGGAGTGATAATGCTGTTGGTGGTGGGATGATGATGATGATGATGATGATGATGCTGCTGATGTTGTTTGTCGTGGCGATCGCGACGACGGTTGATGATGACCATGTTGATGGTGATGGTGGTGATGATGATGACGAAGATGATGATGGTGATGATGACGAAGTTAATAATAGCACCAATAATAGTAATAATAATGATAACAATGATGATGATGATGATGATGATGATGACGATAGTGGTGTTGATGATGTCGATGTTTCTGATGATGATTATGATGGTGGTGGTGGTGATGCTCACTCTTATGATGATGCTACGGCTGTTGATGCTCATGCTGATGTTGACGCTGCTGGTGCTGCTGCTGATGATGATGATGATGATGATGATGATGGTCGTGATGACGGTGATTGTGAGTGTGATGGTGTTGATGACGATGGTGGCGGCGATGTTGACTATGATGATCTGATGATGTTGCTGTTGCTCATGATGATGACGTCGATGATGATGGTGAGTTGTGGTGGCTCTGCTGGATATGATGATGCCGATGATGATGTTGATAACGATGATGATGATGATGATGATGATGATGATGATGATGATGATGATGATGATGATGATGGTGATGATGATGATGATGATGATAGTGCTGTCGCGGGTGATAGTGATGATGATGGTATCCATCATGTTAATGCTGCTGATACTGATGATGATACTGATACTGATGATGATGATGATGATGATGATGATGATGATGATGATGATGATGATCGTCAGGGTGAGTGTGATGATGCTGCTGCGGCTGCTGATGATGCTGTTGTTGTTGTTGATGATGCAGATGATTAAGAGAAGGAGAGGTAAGAGAAGGAGGAGGAGGATGTGAGATAGAACGCAATATTCGTTCGCTTTCCTTGGGTGTGGTTTCTGTGAGCCTTTGCGAGAGGAAGAGCGAGAAGGGGAAGGAAGAGGGAGGTGAGGAGATGTAGGTTGGATTATCTTCGCGGTCCTGGAAAGTGTTCGTGGGTGTTGGCTCGGGTTCTAAGTTTAGGAGGAGGAGGAGGAGGTTGACCAGTGTAAATCCCAGATGTTTCAACGCTGTTGCAATCAACCCGCCCTCCAAGTTCCCTCTTCGTAGATCCGCGCAAGCATTCAGTTTCTTCGCGGGAGGTGCTCCTTGGAATGACAACCGTCTGAGAATCCTGAATCTTGCCAAACCGATTTTCGTAGGAATGCAACGCGAATCAACTTGACTGTTGCGACCTGACAGCCCTAACTCGTGCCAGGGTACCGTTCCTGGAACTTCAGCACAGCGAATCAATGTGGCTTCTGTACCCGGGCAATATTCAATCGTGGCAGAGCACAGATCCTGGGAGTTCAGCGAAGCGAGTCCTTGAAACCCTTGCAAACTTTTAATAATACGAATGAGCGCGGCGCTAGGGCGAGAACCACATTTTGAAAGGAGTCGCCTCCATCCTTGAAGCTGCTGCAAACGAATGTGCGTGGCGCTGAGGCGAGGGCCACGTTTTGAAGACGGGCTGCTTTCCATCTTTGAAGCTGTTGCCAGCTTTTGAGACGACTGTGCGCGGCGCTAGGGCGAGAGCCACATTTTTGAAACGGCCCGCCCTCCATCGGTGAAGCTCTTGCAGGTTTCAAGCTTCAGGATCATATCTGGTGAGGAAGTCTCAGGCGAAACGCCCGGCCCGCCCTGCCTTCATGCCTGGATGTTCGACAGGGAGTGGTGATGTATGAAGAAAAAGGAGGAGGACAAGGAGGACGAGTAGGAGGACCAGTGTGAACTCAAGACGCACCAACGTTGCTGCAATAAACCCGGTCTCCAAGTTCCGTCTTCGCAGGTCTCTACAATCATTTGTCTTCATTGTTGGAAGTGCACCGTTGCAAGGCAACCCATTTGAAAATCCTCAACCGAGACACAACGCCATTCTTAGAATTGTCAACACCACGAAAAAACTTTGAGTGTGCGTCCTGGGAGTTCAACACCGTGAATTAACGTAGGCGTTGCGCCCTGACAGTCGTAAATCCTGGCGCTGCAACATTCCTGGGACGTCAACCGTCATCATCCGTTGAACAATTGGGCACTTTAAAAACGATTGTGCGCGGCGCTGATGTGAGAACCACATTTCGAAAAATATATGTCCTCCATCCGCGAAGCATGCTCATGGCGTTGAGACGAGAGCCACATTCTGAAGACGGGCTCTTTCCAATCCGTAAGCCTCATGCAAACTTTGCCGGGCGTGGTCTTCCACGGCCGGCAAATTCCAATTAGCGTGGCGAAGGACCCAACCATATGCGGTTGTGAGTACCGCAATTGTGCTGGGTGGTGGCGGACGCATGCGGGCGGTGCCACTGGGACCTTCAGTGGAGCTCCCTATGGGGCCACGAAGCGCTGTATTGGGTGGGCGAAGCGCAGGGAGCAAGGGCTGTGCTGGGTGGTGGCGGACGTATGCGGGCGGTGCCAGTGGGACTTTCGGTGGAGCCCCCAATGGGGCCACGAAGCGCTGTACTAGGTGGGTGAAACGCAGGGAGCAAGGGCTGTGCTGGGTGGTGGCGAACGTATGCGGGCGGTGCCACTGGGACCTTGGGTGGAGCCCCCTTATGGGGCCACGAAGCGTTGTACTGGGTGGGTGAAACGCAGGGAGCAAGGGCTGTGCTGGGTGGTGGCGGACGCATGCGGGCGGTGCCACTGGGACCTTCGGTGGAGTTCCCTCATGGGGCCACGAAGCGCTGTACTGGGTGGGTGGAACGCAGGGAGGAGCAAGGGCACGAAGCGTTGTACAGGGTGGGTGAAACGCAGGGAGCAAGGGCTGTGCTGGGTGGTGGCGAACGCATGCGGGCGGTGCCACTGGGACCTTCGGTGGAGACCCCAATGGGGCCACGAAGCGCTGGACTGGGTGGGTGAAACGCAGGGAGCAAGGGCTGTGCTGGGTGGTGGCGGACGCATGCGGGCGGTGCCACTGGGACCTTCGGTGGAGCCCCCAATGGGGCCACGAAGCGCTGCACGGGGTGGGTGAAAGGCAGGGAGCAAGGGCTGTGCTGGGTGGTGGCGGACGTATGCGGGCGGTGCCACTGGGACCTTCGGTGGAGCCCCAATGGGGCCACGAAACGTTGTACTGGGTGGGTGAAACGCAGAGATCAAGGGCTGTGCTGGGTGGTGGCGGACGCATGCGGGCGGTGCCACTGGAACCTTGGGTGGAGCCCCCCTATGGGGCCACGAAGCGCTGCACTGGGTGGATGAAACGCATGGAGCAAGGGCTGTGCTGGGTGGTGGCGGACGCATGCGGGCGGTGCCACTGGGACCTTCGGTGGAGTCCCTATGGGGCCACGAAACGCTGTACTGGGTGGGTGAAACGCAGGGAGCAAGGGCTGTGCTGGGTGGTGGCGGACGCATGCGGGCGGTGCCACTGGGACCTTCGGTGGAGCCCCCTTTATGGGGCCACGAAGCGCTGTACTGGGTGGGTGAAACGCCAAGGGCTGTGCTGGGTGGTGGCGGACGCACGCGGGCGGTGCCACTGGGACCTTCGGCCCTATGGGGCCACGAAGCGTTGTACTGGGTGGGTGAAACGCAGGGAGCAAATGCTGTGCTGGGTGGTGGCCGACGCATGCGGGCGGTGCCATTGGGACCTTCGGTGGAGTTCCCTATGGGGCCACGAAGCGTTGTACTGGGTGGGTGAAGCGCATGCAACAAGGGCTGTGTTGGGTGGTGGCCGACGCATGAGGGCGGTGCCATTGGGACCTTCGCTGGAGCCCCCTATGGGGCCACGAAGCGCTGTACTGGGTGGGTGAAACGCATGGAACAAGGGCTGTGCTGGGTGGTGGCGGACGCATGCGGGCGGTGCCACTGGGACCTTCGGTGGAGCCCCCTTATGGGGCCACGAAGCGTTGTACTGGGTGGGTGAAACGCAGGGAGGCGGGAGGAGGGGGAGGAGGGAGGGGGAAGAGGAGGAAAAGAGGAAAGGAACGCGGGGA